TATATTGTGATCGAATTTGTTTCCTGACATGCCCCGGCCGTCCTCTTCCCGAAAATCAGGTGTACGTTAGCCCGCGGGGCGCGCTTCACACTTTCCCCAGACGACCTACACGTTAAAAGTATTCTGGCCCCTGCGCTCATGCAAGGCCAGACTACTGATCGCTTCGACCGTTGCTGGCTGCGTTGCGTATACTACTGAAGAATACACAAGTACCATTTCGGTTATATTACATGGTACTTTCTTCTTTGTACAATAATTGACCGCTGGGCAGGTAGTGAAGCCGCCCTGTCCTAATTCTCGCTGCATGGACTGCAATCGTTTTACTTTCGCTTAGTCTAATAAGCCGAACTCACAGAGAATAAGCATACCAGTAGAACCTTCTCAAAAGCATTAATTGCAAAAAGGCAAAAATATTACCTTTTAGAGAGAACTGTTCACGCCGAGTTACTTTCCTAGTCATCCTTTCTTGCGAAAAATTATTTCGGAGTCGCCCTAGCTCTTCTGACTACGGACAAAATTAAAGATTCCTCTCTCTTGAGTAAAATCAGATGGCAATGAATTGACTTCTGCAAAAATAACTGCGGGTGCTTGAGCCTCCATGAGCCCGTTGAGTGAAACATGCATATTTTCACATATGCTATATGTAAATGAGAGAATTTATGAATTTAGAGTCGTTTGGAATAATTACAGCGGAAAGTGACCATATTCTTCAGCCACTTTTATTTTCCTGAAATAAAACGCAATTGCACAAATCCCATGAGTGGAAATTGTTGGCAAATCAGCTTCTAGTGTGCGCTGGTTGACATTCGTAGAAATCGAGTTGGGTACTGCACATGAAAGTAGGCGTCCCTAGGCGTACGCTGTCTTTACATATCTGACTAACTTTGCATATCTATCAGAAACTAAAGGTTCCAATGGACATATACTTCTTGGTGTTGCTATAGTAATGAAAGGAATAAAATCGGGCTTCATGCTCTCATAATCACTTTGGCATTCATAACCAGGCAGGACCCATGCTGGAAATGAGCCCGACATAACGAGACGAATACGAGTTCAGTTAGTCAACTTATGACTTTATTGAGCAAAATCTATACGTGGGTTTCGGGGTATAATTAGAAGTGGGCCAATAAGCTCTCCGTCGGCAGTACATTACATATTGCACGCTAGTCCGGTTGCGAACTGCTATGTTTGCCAAAACGGATGAGATGCCTTGAAGTACTGGTGTCTCGTAATTGAGATCTTTAAAAGCGTTGTAAACCAAATATGACTCCTAAGGCCTCTTAATCTAACATTGAGTCTTTGGTTTGCAACATGTACATATTTGCTGATCCAAAGGCAATTAGAAATTCTCCATTAAAAGGAAACTGATGCGTGAGAATCGAACCCACGACGCCTAAAATTTTAATATGACATGCTTTTTGAAGAAGTAATAATTCAAGGCACTTTGTCTGTCAATAAAACAACGTTTTGAGCTCCGACCTGCCGCAATGACGATTACTTGAAAGACAGGGATAAAGGTGACTCAAACCTCTAGCTCATTTATTCATAAAACAACTAAAACGTGTTACAACGCCGTCTTTTTTGTTCATGCCAATTAAACGGCCTTCGCATGCAATACATATGTGATCTGGCTTTAAGCGCTCAATCAACGAAGTTGTGCGCGAGCAATTTTCTATCTGCTCTTAACATAACCAATGCCTTCCTTTGCATCTTCATGGTTAAATAATGGAGGACCGATAGATAAGATAAGCACTTACGGCCGCATCGCCTTGTATATGTACCGGAGATTGGAACTAAATACTGATGTAAGTTTACCTATCAATCACTGTAGAGGGCATCCACTGAACATATCACTTCTATCGCTTACCTCAGATTTCCAAATAAATAAGTAGGTTTCTCTGGTAACATGACCTGCCTCATTAGCTATGCTAATGCAATCTGTGGAGGCGATTGCGTTTTGGGTGCTACAACTAGTCCTCCTATGTAAGCATTCTTTGAAATTTCCGCAAACTCTTTTAAGGCTCATCATTCTGACCGGGTGGGCTTATATTATCCCTCCCAATTATGTGCATGCGATTAATATTTCTCAGCAAATGCATAGCCTACATAGTTTTCGGAAGGATCTCCGAAAGCCAGAATGCCTCTATTTCAGTGAGGATAATAAACACTTCGGAGGATATATTTTCCATGTTTTTTTGTGTAAGTAGGTTGTTCCTAACCTAATAATGTAAAGATATCGAGATATCTCATTTGCTTTAACAAAAATAGCAGTTTGCAATCGGGCTAACATCCAATATAGGGTGCAGTGCGGATTGAGGGTTTAGTTGTTCTATTCTCCTGTCCTTTGAAACTCACGCATAAAATCTACCCAAACGAAGTCCGGCCTTGACTTGTAGAACCCGCATTTGCCTCCGCAATGTCTTTAAATGTGATGCGTCATGATTTGTTATAATTTTAAGCAAAAAATAAAGAAAGCAATGACACATAATTTTCCATCATAGAAGTTTTTGCCACATTGTATGCTGTTTTGTTAATCAAGGAGCTAGACGCTTCATACTTATTTATCATCAACTTGAAATGAATCCTTGTCGCAAATGTTGGAAGTCGAACATATCATTTTAAACGGGCAGAAAACCATTTAACTCCTCTTCTATCCTGCCTCATTACGCCTTCAAAAAGCCTGTCATATTGACATGTTATGCGTCATGGGTTGCAATCTCGTGCATCAAATTATCTTTAATCGATAGATTCCATTTTTCCGTACACCAACTATTCGCAGTTATTCCAAAAGACGTAGGAATCACGTTTAGCCTACAACATATCTACTTGTTCTATTTTCTTGCATGCCTCCAGAATCCGATAAATCACACCTCGCATAAGGTTTACCAAACGGAACACGACGAATAACGCAAATTATCCCGACGGGAATGCACAGCTGGATACTGATTCCTTGCGCTAAAACATGCGCAATAAAATTGGGCGACTTTAGTGTCAGCTAAATACGACAGACATTTTGAATGCGTTATGAGACAGTACAGGAAATTATAAAATTAGGGTTCTTCGAGAATAGGAAAGTGACTGAGGAATACACCCATTTTTCACCGACATCACTCACAACGGTTCTGAATTCAAAAGTTTTCTCAGTTACATATAGGATATGGTGAGAATGCGCAAAGTTCATTCGATGTTATGTTAGCAATTGCATGGCCCATTACTCGCACATTTATCATCATCCTCCTAATGAGCAGAGAGATTGATAAATGCATCATACATTAAGGTCATCACGAGCAGGATCATGAAGCATCTATTTCGTTCCGATTTTAATCAACAGCGGGGAACCTTTTAATTTTTCCGTGGATAGCAAGGTTGGTGAGACTCCCAAATATTATTTCACAAAATCGGATGATTTCTCAAAAATGTAATATTTCTGCCCTTCTTTTGACTAACGCTTCGGAGAAGTTCATGCTTTCATGATAATCATTCGTGCGTTTGGCTTATTAAGGCAATTGAAATTAAATTGAATGCAGCCCATACAGTGGGAATCGCCTGCTCAGAGGTCAACTGGAGCATAAGGAAGAGACTATATGCTATTTATATTTTTATTCAATTAATAAATTATACAGTGCATCCCGCA